CTCAGCGGTTGGAGCTTCGGCCGCAGACCAGAGTCCTGCTTCGATTCCAGACAAGGGCACCGCCCTCGGCTGCAGTCTGGTCCTGGCCCTAGCTGGGGTCGTGCAGGAGGCCACCAGTCCGTGTGTCTCTCTCACGTGGCTTTTCTCTCTCCCCATCCCACTCTATCTGAAGGTAAATGGGAAAAAAATATCCTCAGGAGAGGATTAAAATGTTTCTAATGGATCTAACGTTGCGTCACCGTGGGACCCACGTTTCCCTCTGACGCCCGCGGAGCACGCGCTTCCTCGGCAGTGGGCGGGGCTCCCTCTGCTCCCTGGACCCTGCCTGGGCCCCCGTTAGTCACCGCGAACGTTTCTTGCTTAAAAGATATTTCTGATCATGTTTTTCGGTACCAAAAGATAAGTTTATTACACTTTTTGAGTTTCCTGTGACTTTAACTATAACATTTACAGTCCTCAAAAACCTTTGGTGAAAGTAAATGAAGATGTTTTCTCTATGAAATGTTTTTCCATAGTTTCAAAAAAATATGAAACACAAACGTACCTAATATAAAAAAGCGCACAGTTTATAGAGCCTGGTCGGAGGGCTTCCCAGCAGCGTAGGAAGCGCGCACACCGTTCCCGCGTCCTCGCAGCGCGCACACTGCGGTCCGGAGAGGCGGGCTGCGCGCGGGGGGAGGGGGAGGAGGCACGGGCTTCGCGCGCGGGGTGGGAGACGCGGGCTGCGCGCGGGGGGAGGGGGAGGGGGCGGGCTGCGCGCGGGGTGGGAGACGCGGGCTGCGCGCGCGCGGGGGGGACGCGGGCTGCGCGCGGGGGGGGGGGGGGCACGGGCTTCACGCGCCGGGGGAGACGCGGGCTGCGCGCGGGGTGGGAGACGCAGGCTGCGCGCGCGCGGGGGGGACGCGGGCTGCGCGCGGGGGGAGGGGGAGGGGGCGGGCTGCGCGCGGGGTGGGAGACGCGGGCTGCGCGCGCGCGGGGGGGGGCACGGGCTTCACGCGCCGGGGGAGACGCGGGCTGCGCGCGGGGGGGGGGCACGGGCTTCACGCGCCGGGGGAGACGCGGGCTGCGCGCGGGGTGGGAGACGCAGGCTGCGCGCGCGCGGGGGGGACGCGGGCTGCGCGCGGGGGGGGGGGCACGGGCTTCACGCGCCGGGGGAGACGCGGGCTGCGCGCGCGGTCCCGGTGAGCTTAGATCTGAAACCAGAGGTTCCAGTTCCTCAGCCCGCGCTCAGAGCCGCTCGCTGGACGGCCCCTCTGTGCCCCTCTCTCGTCGAGACGTGCCGTTCACCAGTGGGAAGTAAACGCGGGCTCCTAACAGCGTTCTTGAAATCACGCAAAACATACAGCAGAGAACCTAGACCAAGAGACTGGTGGATGAGACTCTGCTCACAGAGAATGGCATGCAAACCCGGGATGTGGGTTTCATGTCAGTTGCCGATTCCCAGCAAGTTTTTACAAATCCCGGACATTCCGAAGTGGGCCCACGAGGCAGGGCTCGCGCGGGTGGGCTCAGGCGCCGCCTCGGCTGCTGGTCACCGCTCTGCTTTCCCGCTCCCGCAGGAGGGACCGGTCTTGGACACGAATGGGAGGCAAGAGTCTGTTAAACAGAAGTTTTATTACTCCTGTACCTCACTCTGCAGTATATCTGAATAGATAACATCTTAACATGTATCAAAATTACCAGCTTATTACACACCATTTCGCCCCTAACAGGAATTCGTGTGAGGCAGGGGAAAGCATGAAGCCCTACTCTGGGTACATGATACCTAAATTAGGAGAGATTTTTGAATTATCCCTTCACTGGCTCCATAATAACAGGGGCCAGAAAGAAAAAAGCAGGTATCCGTAAAGGGGAGTTAGAAAAGTATACCTAGCCCTGTGCTCTGGCCACAGAGGTCTTCTCGAACAGATCCGTTTCAGGCAAATATATGTATATATGGAAGTTGAGACCTGGAAAACATTCTGCACCTCCAAGAGCACGGGACAGAGCGTGCGAAGAGCCACAGAGCAAAGCATGGGTCTGGCCGGCAGCTCAGGGAGCTGGGCTCCCGCCAGCTTCACGCGACGGCATTCACCACGGTGTGCTCCATGACAAGGGTTGAGTAACAATGCGTTCTGACTTTGCAAACACGCTCCAGTTTCTGGGAGTAGCGAGGTACTTATAGAATAACCAGTGAATTAATCACAAGATAAATCGCACCCCATAGTCTCCTCCCTTTTCCTCTCTCTGTGGCCAAATGCCCATTGCTTTGAGTCATTTGCTCTTTATTTTTAGAAAACAAAATTTTGATATTTACACAATTTTTATAAGGCCTTCTTGTTTCTTCCAGCTCACTCCCCTGGTAATAATATTTTAATAGTTTTATTGAAATATAATTCCCATACCATATAGTTCACCTGTTTTGAATAGGTAAGTCCATGGTTTTTAGTGTATTTACTGAGTTGTAGTTAGTGAAGCTTTTCAACCTGCAGACTCCAGTCTTTCTTCTCTATTATTCTTTCACTTTCTGTCATCCATTCCCTCTGGGATTTGAACCTATTACTCGCATATTGGTCCCCTGGGTCTGTGCTCAGTGCCCCCACTTCCTGGTGGCTCCCATCTGTGCAGTCCGTCTACTGAGCCCTCCCACCTGCTCGCCCAGCTACTAATGTTATTCTCCACAGTGGCTACTCTTTCCATTTGTCTATTGTAATTTTAAACATGAAAATGGGTGTTTGGCAATGTCTCATTACCAAAATGGATCGCCTTGCCTAATCTCAATTATTTTCATGTCGGTCACATTATCCTGTCCACCTTTTCAGGGGGTTCCACTCAGCTTCTCCTTCTGGCCGCTGGATCCCCTCCGTGAGGCGATGATGCCCGCCCTGCCCGTGCTAGCATGGCCTCGTTAATTAGGGTCAACTGTTTGGATCTGAGAACCCCAGTTCCCACTGCTGGGAGTTGGAGCGAAGCCACCAGCAAACTGCTCGTTCTCTCCCCAGGGCTTTGTCCCAAGGAGAGCCCTCTCACTGTCACCGAATCTGGAACAACTCAACTTTCCAGAGCGGCTCCCTGTGATCTCCCAGACCTGTAGGGTAAGGCAGCTGGCTCCCTGCACCCAGGAAAAAGATATGTGCAGCCTTTCTGGGAGGGGACTTCATGAGCTTGTTAAAAAGTCAGACCTTGTCCAGAAAGACCTTCCATGGTAAAACAGGAATGCTTCCTGTCTGCTTCCAACGCGCGTACTCTGAGAGAAATGTGCCACCTGGCACCTGCACTCCAACAAGTAGCCAGTCTGGAGCAAAGGTGAATGCCTTGCAAACTGTGACCGGAGCGGCCACAGCTGGCCCACAGCACTGCACCCCTCCACCCCGCCGTGCACGAGACCTGTGCCGCAGGCCTGCGCGAGGGCCCCGCAATCCTGGCGCAGGCCGCCCTCCTCCTTTCTTCCAGCTCACTCCCCTGGCAACTTGAGTGAGTCTTGGGGATCCTGGGCAAGAGTCTTGCTTGGGGCAAGAAGAGTTAAAGAATGGGGACAGGTGAATGAGGCCCGTGGGGTTCACTGTGGGGCTCTGAATGCCGGGCGGATTCCAGCATGGGCTTCTCTAGCACAGCTGGGAGATTCAACTCAGCACCGTGGACACCTACTCATATGAACACACAGGCTCTGCCATTGACTTTGGATGTGTTTATTTCTTGCTAAATGACCAATACCATCTCCTCTTTCCAATGTCTGATTAAAGCAACAGAGAGGGAGGAAGTGTCTTCCCCAAGGCTGACACAGATCCAAACAAAGCTGGGAGGGACTCCTGGGGACAAATGAAGACCCTCGGATCCCAGTCCCCCAGTTCAGCTTCCTCTATGAATGATGTGGTCCTCGGCTTTAGCCCTGCTCAGGGCCCATGGTATCTCCCTCTCATCTCCATGGCTTCCAAGGACACTGGTCTCCTCCGGAACCAGCTAAGGCTCCACCTCGACCTATAGTGGACTCCATGACCCCCTGCAGGGCCCGGGCCAAGGTGGGGGTCATGAGGACGGTAGACAGCTGCATCAAAGACATCTCTCAGCGATAGGAAGTTTCTCTAGAAAAAGAAGGGTGAATAGTTTCAAAATTATACCCCCTCTCCCAACTCTTTACCATCTTTAATCTTTTGTTTTTTTGTGTGTTTTTAAAAGTATTTTCTTTATTGCCTTTAGAGGGACAGGGAGAGGGATAGAAACATTGATGAGAGAGAATATCGACTGGCCATCTCCTGCACGCCCCCGACTGGGGATCAGGCCCACAACCTGGGCATGTGTCCTGACCCGGCATCGAACCAACAACCTTTTGGTGGATGCCAACCACTGAGCCACACCAGCTGGGCACAGACTCCTGTTGGAGTTTTCTCTGCCTTCAAACCATCTTCGTGCCCTCCAGCCTTTTCCTTTTTCTGGCCCCTTTACCCTCAAGTCAGTAGTTGCCTGTGCACACGGACGGGCTCCTCCGGCCCGCAGCCCCAGCCTGCTCCTTCTCTCAGTAGCTCCCTCCCGCTCTTTCCTCCCTCCCTGCTCGACCCAGCTTGGCTCCCCTGCTACTCATACCCATTTCCTGCATTCCTACTCCTTCCCCCGGGCAATTCCCTACTTATTAGGCACTCACCATACAGAAGAAGACCCCAGCAAAGAGACCCACAGCCACTAAAACTGAGACCAGAGTGATGAGGAAGATTTCCCATGGCTTCAGGGACCCATCAGGCCTCACTTTACTCGTTGAAATAGCAGAACTTGTGCTCATTCTGTTGGGAGTTGTGTGCGTTCCAGTTGGAGAGGGTGTGCCCAAACCTCCTAAGGTCCCCCCGGATCCAGTGCTGGCAGGTGTGCTGGTTCCATTGGGGGTCCCACCGGATCCAGTGTTGGCGGGTGTGCTGGTTCCACTGGGGGTCCCACCGGATCCAGTGTTGGCGGGTGTGCTGGTTCCATTGGGGGTCCCCCCGGATTCAGTGCTGGCGGGTGTGCTGGTTCCATTGGGGGTCCCCCCGGATTCAGTGCTGGCGGGTGTGCTGGTTCCATTGGGGGTCCCCCCGGATTTCCGTGCTGGCGGGTGTGCTGGTTCCATTGGGGGTCCCCCCGGATTCAGTGCTGGCGGGTGTGCTGGTTCCATTGGGGGTCCCCCCGGATTCAGTGCTGGCGGGTGTGCTGGTTCCATTGGGGGTCCCCCCGGATTCAGTGCTGGCGGGTGTGCTGGTTCCATTGGGGGTCCCCCCGGATTCAGTGCTGGCAGGTGTGCTGGTTCCATTGGGGGTCCCCCCGGATTCAGTGCTGGCGGGTGTGCTGGTTCCATTGGGGGTCCCCCCGGATTCAGTGCTGGCGGGTGTGCTGGTTCCATTGGGGGTCCCCCCGGATTCAGTGCTGGCGGGTGTGCTGGTTCCATTGGGGGTCCCCCCGGATTCAGTGCTGGCGGGTGCGCTGGTTCCATTGGGGGTTCCCCCGGATTCAGTGCTGGCGGGTGCGCTGGTTCCATTGGGGGTCCCCCCGGATTCAGTGCTGGCAGGTGTGCTGGTTCCATTGGGGGTCCCCCCGGATTCAGTGCTGGCAGGTGTGCTGGTTCCATTGGGGGTCCCCCCAGATTCAGTGCTGGCAGGTGTGCTGGTTCCATTGGGGGTCCCACCGGATCTGGTGCTGGCAGGTGCGCTGGTTCCATTGAGTCCAGTGTTGATGGGTGTGCTGGTTCCATTGGGGGTCCCACCGGATCCGGTGCTGGCAGGTGTGCTGGTTCCATTGGGTCCAGTGTTGGTGGGTGTGCTACTGGAGGTTACACCTGGTAATAATGAATAATGATGACAAATATATATGTGGAGACAGAGACAATATATATGTTTTGCTCAACACTTGGTTAAATTCATTACATAGATAATTCTATGTAATACTCACACAGGCCTATGAAATAGATACAATGATTATTACCAGCTAAGATGAAAAAAATTGAGGTTTAGAAATATGAATCTAGCCCAAGTTTATATAGCTGGTCAGCAGTAGAACAGGAGTTGAACCCAGGCTGTGGGACCTGTACTTTTAGCTGCCATGCTCTGTCACCCTGCCCACCCAGCCCAACACCAGCGTTGCCTGACCTGGTTCCACTGGCAGTAAGCTTATTCCAAAATCTGCCAGACAAGATCTAACTCAGATTAAAATGATCATGAAGGAATTGTAGTGCCCAGGTGAAACTAGTATATATTGATTCACTCATTCTTAAAGCAGTATTGCTCACTTCTTGGAAAATATTTCTGAGTGTTATTCACAAAACACCTACAGTAGACTCACCTAGAGAGCTTATTGAAAATGAAGATACCTACACAAACCACTCCAGACTAAATGAGTCAGAGTTCGAGGTGGGGCCCAGGTATCTGTCTCTCCTAAAGAGGCCAGTGATTCTGTTTGCATTGGAGTGCCGGGGCTCCTGACCACTGCGGCACAGGCTGGCGGAGGACAGGTTATATGTAGATTCAATGTGAATGCTCTCCACGGACTAAGGGCCCTAAATCCAGACCCACGAGCCTAGGGAGGCTCAGCTGGAGCTCGGGTGGCGTCCATGCTCGCCCCTCACTGCTCTGAAGGACAGACCCCGCTCTCCCAGAGCTTGCGTCCTTTCCCTGTGCCAGTGCTGGCTGGGCCGTGGGCTCCCAGCCACACCCCGCAGGTGTGTGTTTTCTCCTGTCTTATTTCAGCGAACATACGGTGAGAGTATAGCTCTGTTTTGGGAAGGCCTCCAAATTCTGCAGTGGGATGTGAACTGGGGTTAAGAACAGAATCGTGAGTAAAACTAAACAGGAAACTGAGGCGAACAAAAGTAGAGATGGCGTGAAAGAGGGAGTGGGTTTGACTGAGAAGCTTTGGAGAGCAGAGGAGTCAAAATGATAAGACGTACTTTTATCCAAAGGGATGGATTCTCTAGGAAGTCATGCTTTCTGGTTGTGCCATGGGAGGCGGCCCACGGAGGGCTTGAGAGCCAGGGCCATGGAAACTGGGTGGGAACCGGTGTACACCTGACTCCTGTTCTCCTTGATCTGAGGCTGATTTAGGGTGATGTGATTTAGGTTAGGAACAGGAGAGAAATCAAGTTTGTAGAATATAAATGAGTGATATTTTTTTTAAATAGTCAACTCTTCTATCCTTAATATTTAATTCCCTGCCCGCCATATCACACAGGTCATTACCATTTTATAGATGCAGAAACTGAAGCACAGAGAAGTTAGACAACTCACCCAAAGCACACAGGTAGCAGATGGAGCCACGCGTCCTGGGCAGGCTGTCTGGGAACAGTATTAGCACTGTGCTCCTACTGCCTCCCTAGCGATGTGTCGTCAGACTGAAGGGATTGGAGGACAACTGTGTCCTCACATGGAGGACGACCACAGCTGCTCCAGCAGTGCTCACCACTCCACAGTCCCTCAAAGGTTCTCAGACCACCCACTTGTAAGGAAAATTACTCACCATGTTCTAAAAGTAGGAGAGGCAATAGTAACCAACACTTAAGGGGAACACTTCCTTTTTGCATCTTGATCTGCCTCTTGATGGCCAGAAAGCAAGATGCTTGGATCCCAGATGAGGCCAAGACCTAGAAGGCAAAGAGCAGTATTCTTGAAAAAGAAGGGTTCAAGGTGAAGAGATAGAGGCTGGAGCTTCCAGAGCTTGGGTCTCCTAAGTATGTGTTCTTGGGAAGAACGTGAGCTTGGCGGTGGGGTGAGAGACTGGATGCCTGGGTTCATTAAGCTTCCTCCATGCGATGCTGTTGCCTCTTTCTTTATCATAGAAGAGCTTCAGGGGCCTTTATAGCTTCATGTGGGTTGGGGAGGAGTTGGGAAGTTGACTTGTTCTTCTGTCAACTATGAACAGCTAACAAAACAATACTGAGCCTGGGAAGGAATGGATTAGGGGTCAAGAGAAAGGTGAGAAAGGAAAATGATATGATCACACTAGACAGGGCACTGGGCTGGGTTGCAGCAGGAAGTAAAATGGGGCAAGGTAATCAAGGTTGTCAGAGTAGAAGGACCCACCCTCTGAGGCAGGAATGGGGCCAGAAACCTGTTCCACTTCTGTGTTCTGGTCAGGAAGTCCTGTGTGCCTGCTTTAGCAGGAAAGAAACCCTAATGGACTGAGCTAAGGGAGCAAACAAAAAAATGAGACTCAGAAGAGAGCAGTAACGAGGGATCTGGGCCTCTGGCTTATGGGCAGAAGGCAGATGCAGCATCGCCGGTGTGCAGCAGGCACTCAGAGATGCACATGAATGAACAGGAGAGGAGGGGCCCAGGGGTCCATGAAGCCCTCTCGGCAGTCCCTCGGGCATGGGGGCTGAGGGAGTGGGGAGAGTGTTGCATGTGCAAGATCAAGCCACCTGTCAGACAGAAGTGATGGTATAGCGCCCCCTTATGACCTCAACCACAGGACTTCCCTCCTGCCTGTTTTCAGAGAAATCTGTAGGAGCTTTTCTACTTTGGGATCCTACTGATGTTCCCTCTCATAACCTTCAATGAGGTGTCTCTAGTAGGTATACCTCAGGCCACATTAGAAGACGTCAAGTCTGTTAGGGGAAGGAGGTCTATAGTCCGAGTCTGCCAGGAGCTCATGTTGGGTCTGGATGTGGAGGTGCTGTAGCAGCAGTGAGCACACACAGTCAGCTAAATGAACATGACTGGCCAAACCCAAATGACTGGATGGTTTGGGGAGTTCATGGAGAAGATATCTTGTGGTCAGGGCAGAAGGTGCGGGACTGATGGGAGTCCCACACACTGTGTGTGACAGAGCCAGCTGTCTCTCAGATAGTTCGTTTGTAGGTGAATGAGCATCCCCAACAAATAAGACCTGTTAGAAAGAAGTTGGCAAGCAGGAAGGGGCTAGAGACACCTGGGACCTTGAAATGAGTGAGTCTGGGCATCAGGAAGGGATGGGGTACACGGGGAGAGGCTCAAACACAAATGTCCTAGCAGCTGTGATGGGTAGTTCCTGAGGTGGGGGGCAAGGGGGCAGCCAATGACAGGTTGGGTCTTGGACTCCTAGCAATCCTATTCAGTGGCTAAAAAAACAAAACAGGCCCTGGACGGTTTGGCTCAGCGGTTAGAGCGTTGGCCTGCGGTCCAGAGAGACCTGGGTTCGGTTCCCGCTAAGGGCATGTACCTCAGTTGCAGTTTGTCCCCGGCCCTGGTTGGGTCGTGCTGGTGGCAACCACTCGATGTGTCCCTTTCATGTGGACATCTCTCTCTCTCTCTCTCTCTCTCTCTCTCTCTCTCTCCCTCCCTCCCTCCCTCCTTCCCTCCCTCCCTCCCTCCTGCTCTATCTGAACAAAAAATGGAAGAATGTCCTCGGGTGAGGATAAAAAAATATATATATATATATATATATATTTAAAAAACAAAACAGTAGCACTCTAAGAATGAAACTTTCTCTTCCCCTCTAAAACTGCATGGAGGCAGAGACCCTCAATTACAGCCCAGATTGCACTTTTTAGAGGTTATTCTTAAAAACTTTTTTACATGCCTACTTATTATAGTCTAACTGAAATTAATATTTTACTCTTCTTCAAAACAATACAAGGATCTTGGCACATTTTAATTCTTATTACCATCTCCCAACTCATTCCCTAATGTTATTAAGTATTTTAATTTTATCTTGTTTTTTAACTTCATGAGAGATTACTGTTTTCTGCTTACACACCATACACCAGAACATGGTCACACAGTTCCCATCAGCTTCAAAAGAGACTGGGAAGTATACCCGCTAGGTGGGTGGACATGCACTCAACTAAAATAGGAGGGTTCCATTGCTCAAGATGGACCATGGACATCAGTGGGCAGCCATAAGCTATGACACACTGAAACCTCCTTGCTCCGTGCTCTGCTTTGAGTAATTCCAGTGCTTTCAGTTTTGGGGGAGCTGATCCTGCTGTTCGGTTTTGTCTTCTTTCTTGCTGGCTGTCATTCCTGGTGTCTGTTTTCACTTGTAATTGAGAGTTACGACTATGAATTTACTTTTCTTGTGCTGTTATCTGAAGAAGTCCCTCGAGGCCTGAGCTGAAGGTCTGACCTTCCACAGAGAAGCTGCATGTTTGGGCCAAACATATGAGGCATTGTCATCTGAGGATTCTTTTCAGTTAAATAATAGGCTTGAGGCCTTTTGAATTACCCATGATTTGGGGCTGCAAACCATGTAAAGTATTGTGGTCACAGCTATTTCTCAGACATACTTCCCCTCGGAGTTTAGAGACTGGCGATTTTACTTGCATTTCCTTGGGAGAGAGGTGGGCTTCTTTTCAGTTTGCACTCTCTGGAGGTTTCAGATTAAAGTGAGGGTCCACTGCCAGATCCCCACCTTGGCTGGCGCTGCTGAAGGTTAAGTGCACCTGGTTTGGCCAAAGTTGGTTTCAGTACTTCCTTTACTTCTTGGGTTCCTAACATAACTTAGTCTTTTTCTTTTTTATTGGTTTTAGAAAGAGAGGAAGGGAGAGGGAGAGAGATAGAAACATCGATGAGATGGTACATAAACTGGCTGCCTTCTGCACGCCCCCCACTGGGATCGGGCCCACAACCTGGGCATGCGCCCTGACCGGGAACCGAACTGCTGACCTCTTGGTGCAGGGTCGACGCTCAACCACTGAGCCACACCAGCTGGGCTTAGTCTTTAATTTTAGCCTTCCTTACTTTCTTGCCAACTTGTTGATTCACTTAAGAAGACTTTTTAGTCCACAATATTAAGCTTTCGGAGTATTTTAAGTCAAGGCTCCTAGCCCATTATAGAGCCAGAAATTTAAGTTTTCTTTGGATTGTTCTGAGAAATAAATGATGGGGTATTTAAAGGTGTGGTGTTCGGCACATAATAAGTATGTAGTAATAAAGGACAAAAGCAAAGAAGAAAAACATAAACATGTAGATTTCAAATGGGAGAAATTTGGAAGAAACAAAGAGTAAGGAGAAAGAATCTTCCCAAAGGTGAAGGAGACCTGGAGGGTATTCTGTCTGTCCAGTTTGCGTGATTGAAGCTACAACCCAGACAGAGGTTAACCAGGTTTATTGTGGCGATCATTTCACATGTGTGCAAATATCAAACCATTATGTTGTACACTTGAAACTAATGTACTGTTATATGTCAACTGTACCTCAATTTAAAAAAAAAAAAAAAAAAAGGAAGGATGGATAACAGATCAGAGGAGACCGGCTGCCGGGGCTTGTGGAATCCCTGCTGTGCGCCTTTCACCGGCCAAGTGCATGGCCAAGACTCCAGCCCGACACTCTGCTTTGGGAATCTGCCCCTTCAACCAGCCGCCAGAGCCATTTCCACAGCTGGCTCCCCAGAAACGTCAGCTGCTGATTTGTGCCAAGATCACCCTTGATGTGAAACCATGTTTAGTGAGGAGACGTCTCTGGTGTGGGAGTGTTCTCTTCAGAATCCAGTAAGGTGATGTGGTGTTTGTTTTGTTTTCTGCAGAAGTCTAAGAGATGAACTCAGTGGTGTTTTTAACTTCTCTGTTGCCATTGCCCTTTTAGGCCACTAATTTTACCAAAGATTATGAAAGGGTGCTCCTCTTACCCTGCTTAAGAAATGCATTACTCTCTCTGAGTGTGTTTTTTATTGTTGCTCTCGTGACAAAATGAGTCAATACGTTTGCCTTGCTCTGACCTTTTTAAAAAATGAAGGAAGTCATGCCATTTACGAGCTCTCTGGAGAGATTTTCCACACCCTCCATTCCATGTCAAGTTTGGCAGGAGACAATTTCTTAGCCCCCCATGTGCATGATGGTCAGCATAGTTTCTTTCTTTCTTTCTTTCTTTCTTTCTTTCTTTCTTTCTTTCTTTCTTTCTTTCTTTCTTTCTTTCTTTCTTTCTTTCTTTCTTTCTTTCTTTCTTTCTCCTTCCTTCCTTCCTTCCTTCCTTCCTTCCTTCCTTCCTTCCTTCCTTCCTTCCTTCCTTCCTTCCTCCCTCCCTCCCTCCCTCCCTCCCTCCCTTTCTTTCTTCCTCACCCGAGGAGATTTGTGCATTTATCTTCAGTTAGAGCAGGAGAGAGAGAGAGAAACATCGACATGAGAGAGATACATTGACCGGTTGCCACCCACATGACGCCAACCAGGGCCGGGGACGAACTGCAACCGAGGTACGTGCCCTTAGCGGGAACCGAACCTGGGACTCCCTCATCCGCTGGCCGATGCTCTAACCACTGAGCCAAACCAGCCAGGGCACAGTCGGCACAGTTTCATTCTAGTCTAACCAGGCCCTGGGTCTCAGCTTTATGTGGGGTTTCCTATGCCCTGGACTTCCTGCAGGTCCTGGACTTCGCCTCCTGTGCCCTTGTGCTGAAGTTTGCCAGACTTAACAAATGTCCTCAACACAAAGGCTGGCTCGTAGTTTTTTGTCAGTCCGAGTATTCGTCTTCTCTTGGTGATTAACCTAGGTACTACCTACTATCTGCCCAGCTAACTAGTACAGTTACAAAGATATTTTCCAATATTCTGTCCAGAAATTTTAGTTGCTTTCTCCGAGAGGCATGATCAATATAACTTGTCCACTCTTTTGCCTTTTGGAAGTCCATCCAGACCCATGTTACAGTCACTGCCTTCTCTTCCATGACCCCCTTCTTCCCCTATATTTTCTTTTTACAGCATACTCCATTGTCCACACGCCCCTTTTCCTCCACGGCCTCCTCAGGGCCTCATTTGTGATCCATTCCATGGTCCTTGTAGACATGGATGTGGCCTTTTCCATGCCCACAGCACTGCCGTGGTTCCTGTCGTGACCACCCTCGTGG